GAAATTGAGGAGATAGAACTAGCTATCTCTCAGAGGCAGCTAGAATGCACAGACCCAGAATATTCAATTCAATTGTTTATTTTTCCCACCAAACACTCCCCTACAGAGTTAATAGGACAGATGGCCCCAGGGCTATGCTTTCTAGAATGGATTTTTTGCTCACATACCAGGACTAAAACTCTCCCTGTATCCAGTTAGTCAGTAAAGTCATCTATTCAGGTCACAAACAATGTAATCAGTTGCTAGGTTATTACCCTGAAATCATCAGGATACCTTTAAATAAAAAGAAAGTCAAAGCAGTATTGCCATTATCTATGGACCTGCAAATAGCTCTCTCTGATTACACAGGCCATATACAGCATACCTTTCCTACTGACAAATTCCTTCAGTTTTATCTTCTACTTCTGTGGTTTTGCCTACAAAAATAGTTCAATCCCCCATTATCTGATGCTTTAACACTGTTTACTGATGGCTCCGGTAAACACAGAAAAGCATGTTTTGGTAGAGACCACATAATTCCCTCATTTGATCTGGATTTACTAGCACTCAGAGAGCTGAGGTTGGAGCTTTAATATTGGCCCTGGAAATTTTTTCCTCTTAGCCCATCAATATTGTTAGTGATTCTGCTTATTCTATTTACTTACTGCAGAGCCTTGAGACAGCCCTCATTAAGTCCACTCTGGAGACCACCCTGTGTGCAACTGCTAGATCAATGCACACATCCTATTTTTATTACACACATTCAGGCCCATAGCTCACTGCCTGGTCCACTGGCTTAGGGCAATGATCAAGCAGACCTACAGGTCATGACATCACTGCTTGACCAAACCACCCAATCACATCAATTTTCCCACCAAAACTGGAGAAACTTACCTAAACAATTTCAACTTACCCAGAGACTAGCTAAACAAATTATCCTGCAATGCCCAGATTGTCAGCTCACAGGTATGGCCCCCCTCCTTCAACAGGTGTTAACCCTAGAGGGCTAGAGCCTAATCAGTTATGGCAAACAGATGTTACACACATCCCTGAATTTGGAAAACTAAGATATGTATATGTATCCATCGATACCAACACTCATCTAATGAGTGCACGTGTTCCTCCTGGAGAGTCTACTCAGTATATCATTAAACATATTTTAACTTTTGCATTTATGGGCAACCAGGCAAGCAGCATTAGAAGTGGAGCTCTTGGCCTGCCCAATAATGCAAGATCCACAAGGCAATCCAGTACATGACCCCATTTCTTTTGATGCTTATAAAGAGACAAGAAAAGGCATTAGAGATAATGAAGCTGCTAGCCCATTTATGGGCAGCCCAGAAAAATTAAAACGAATAATGGTCCAGCTTATGCCAGCTCACAATGTCAACAATTTTGTCATACATCCAACATCCAACATTGCACAGTCATCCCATATAAATTCCCAAGGACAGGCCATAATAGAACGTGCCCACTCCACCCTTAAAAATATGCTCAGAATGGTGGCTCACGCCTGTAATCCCAGCACTTTGGGAGGCCGAGGCGGGTGGATCACTGAGGTCAAGAGATCCAGACCATCCCGGTCAACATGGTGAAACCCCGTCTCTACTAAAAATACAAAAAATTAGCTGGGCACGGTGGCGCGCGCCTGTAATCCCAGCTACTCGGGAGGCTGAGGCAGGAGAATTGCCTGAACCCAGGAGGCGGAGGTTGCGGTGAGCCGAGATTGCGCCATTGCGCTCCAGCCTGGGTTGCGGTGAGCCGAGATTGCGCCATTGCGCTCCAGCCTGGGTAACAAGAGCGAAACTCCGTCTCAAAAAAAAAAAAATGCTCAGAAAACAAAAAAGTGGTAGTATAAGAACCCTGCAACGCTACTAGTACAAGCCTCATTTGCCCTTAATTTTTAAAATTTAGATGATAAATTTCAATCAGCTGTAGAAAAGCACTTTGCTAAAACCTCCCAAGACATAAAACCAGAAGTTTTATGGAAAGATATAAATAGTAATGTACGGTGTGGTCCAAATGAATTGCTAAGAGGATATGCTTGTGTTCACACCCCTTTAGGTCATCTTTGCATTCCAGCACAATGCATCAAACTATACCATGGCATGGCTAGGACCCAACCCGGTACCAGAAATGAAGAAAATGACCCTGCAGGACCCAAAGCCCCAAACAACGTGACTTTCTTGGACAGCACAAGCCCCCAGATGTTACCTAAGGGACGCTGAAGACAACTCAGGAGGCTGAGCAAATCCTGCTCCGGATGCAGACACCATTCACTCCAGCTAATTTGCTCCTTGCTATTCTGTCTGTTGTACATTGTGACTCGAGTAGGGTATTAATCCTTTTTATCCTCTCGCTTTGCCTGCAACCTTTACCTGCTACACTCTATTGGGATTATATCTTAGATCCGCCTTTCTTTCGCCCTGTCACCTGGGCAGACACCCACTTCCCAGCCTCTAATAATGTAACTGCTGGGCTGGGAGGGATAGATTTACCCCAGTGGGGTCCCTCATTAATGATACACATTGGACTAAGGTGTCAGGTAACATACCTATCACTCCACTATCCTCCCACCGTGTGTAAGTTATAAAAGTTACTTTTGTCAAAGTTACTTACTGTGTACCCGCCCAAACACAAGTATGGCTACGTTATGGCCAGGGAAATGCCTTAACATTCTTGGTTGTCAGTAGCCTCAAACCGGGCCATGCAACCAATACCACTTTCCCCAACATTCCTCCCTGTGCTAAAGAACCAAGATGGGCGGGCATGGTGGCTCACGTTTGTAAACCCAGCACTTTGGGAGGCCAAGGCAGGCAGATCATGAGGTCGGGAGATCGAGACCATCCTGGCCAACATGGTGAAACCCGTCTCCACTAAAATACAAAAAAAAAATTAGCCGGGTGTGGTGGCGCACACCTGCAGTCTCAGCTACTCGGGAGGCTGAGGCGGGGAAACCACTTGAACCAAGGAAGCGGAGGTTGCAGTGAGCCAAGATCATGCCATTGTACTCCAGCTGGGCGACAGAGCAAGGCTCTGTCAAAAAAAAGAAAATAAAGAACCAAGATGGGAAAGCAATGGATTCCACTTTGGCTGGGAGGTCTGTCATGGGGAACAAGCCCGTGGCCTCCAGTTAGGCAATTATAACATCTTAGACTGGAGCCCCATGGTCATTTGCAGGGTGATCATAATGATATCTGCATCCATCATGGCATCAGTAACAGTTTCATAGCCACGCCCCATTCCCCTATGATTTTGGCCGATGGGGGGATGGGGTATCCCAAACCCTGAGTAGAGCCCATGCCATCCCAAGACACTTTATGGCACCTCGGACGTCTTAGCACCTCCCTTAACACCTGGCATGGAACATATCATAATTCCAGTATCAATTATACTATGACCTTTAATCATAATCACACAGATCAGTGCCTAATTTGCACTACCCATCCATATGTTTTCCTTATGGGAACCGATATTTCCATTACACCCCAAAACTCCACCTTTGTGACCCGAGTGCAGCGACAGGCTTGATTTGCCTCTGATGTCACTAATTACAATATATCTAATATTACTAGTGTAATGGTTTTAAGGAGACAATCTGAGGCTTCCTACCAGGCAATTTAACACACAATTGGCAAGGTTCCTCGGCTCTTGCCACCTTAGAACGTGCCCTGTCCCAGGTCAAACACAAAAGATTCATAGTTACACTTATAGCCTTTATAGTCTCAGCCATAGTCATCCTAGCAACTGCTAGTGTTGCTGTAGCATCTGCTACTAAACCAGTACAAACAGCTACCTTTGTAGATAATTTGGCCAGAAATGTGTCTAATCAACCTCTCTTACAGCAGGGTATAGATCAAAAGATTCTTGCACATCTGCAAGCCCTCAAGGCTGCCTTGGAATAGGTAGGGGAGCAACAAGATGCACTGGCATTCTGTCAGTAATTAAACTGTGACTGGGAACATAAGCCTATCTGCATGACTTCTCTACCATGGAACCAATCAATACACAGCTGGGATAAGGTGAAACACCACCTCTGGGGAACCTCTCATAACAATTTAACAGCAGACATAATGCAACTTAAAACTAAAATTGTAGGCTGGGCGCAGTGGCTCTCACCTGTAATCCTAGCACTTTGGGAGGCCAAGGAGGGCAGATCACAAGGTCAGCAGTTCAAGATCAGCCTGGCCAACACAGTGAAACCCCGCCTCTACCACAAATACAAAAATTAGCTGGGCATGGTGGCACGTGCCTGTAATCCCAGCTACTCTGGAGGCTGAGGCCAGAGAATTGCTTGAACTGGGACCCGGGAAGCAGAGGTGGCAGTGAGCTGAGATCGCGCCACTGTACTCTATGAAGCATAGGTTACATAACAAGAGGATGTAAAGAAGCTGAAAGATAAGCTAGTTTACTTAGGCCACAGAACCTGGCCTTTAATCATCTGCAGGACTGCTCTCTTCTGGGAGGGTGACCATGTTAATTATCCATAAATATGTTGACTCAAAGCCTCTGTCATTAAATCTATGCTGAATAAATGCCTGCAGTGCCAGGTGATCAGGGTGCTGACTCTTTACAGCACATTTCTCGGGATCTGTCAGCTGCTTGGTCCCCTAGCCCACTCTTTCACTAGATATCAGTGTAGGAGTGCATTTGTTCATCCAGCATTCTGCCAAGGTCTGTGGGTCGAACCCAGCAAAGACCTAGAGTATCAAAATAATTTCTTGATTTTGATCAGCACTACCTATAAAAAAGGACAAAAAAACGAAGCTCCTCTTTTCTCATTAACTCTGGAAGAATAATGTTATGTGAGCTATAAGACAAGTACTGACTTTACCAACAATGTCACTATTAAAATGTCAGAAAACTAAGCCAGGCACGACGGCTAACACCTGTAATCCCAGCACTTTAGGAGGCCAAGGTGGGCGGATCACAGCTCAGGAGTTTGAGACAAGCCTGACCAACATGGTGAAACCCTGTCTCTACTAAAAATACAAAAATTAGCCAAGCATGGTGGCACATACCTGTAGTCCCTGCTACTTAGGAGGCTGAGGCAGGAGAATCTCTTGAACCCAGGAGGCAGAGGTTGCAGTGAGCCAAGATTGTGCCATTGCACGCCAGCCCAGGCGACAGTGTGAGGCTCCATCTCAAAAAAATAAAAATAAATAAATAAATGTCAGAAAACTCTATGACTTTTTTCTATTACAACTTTAAACCTGTAAAGAAGTTTTGTTTCAATTCTATGAAACACTAAGATAAATCCTCTTTGAAATCAATGTAATTGCCAAAGAGTGGCAAGGATGGTAACAAATAATTGCAACTTCATGAGATGAGATCAAATGCATATTACAAAGACACTTTCTGGTTGCTCGAGTGACTTGCACACAGGATTGATCGTACCTCAAAACTATCACAAAAAGAAAGCAAATGGCAGGATACGCCTGTTTTCCTCACTAACAACTTTAATTCCTTACTATCTATAGTGATTACTAAATAACAGAGTTACATGCTACTAATCTATGTACAATGTCAGAAATCATTAGCTGCTTTTTCTTCCTAAATTAGGAATAAAATACTTAACACATTTGTTTAAATTCCAAAGAAATCATTTGGCACAGGAATGACCATACAGTATATGCCTTCTTTCAGCCTGGGCATATTTAACTTTTTGCATTGACTAGTACAATATGCATTAAGCACATTTGCTTAGACTTCCACAGTTAAATGGACAATTCACTTTTTATAAGTGGAAAATGATTACATCTTCTGGTATTCACTGCAATATCAAATCAATGACTTCTTTCAGTATTTGTGGTGGTCATTTGTAATTCCTTTGTTAATTACCATGAATCTGCTTTCACTTAATGCTAAATGGCAATGTTAATACAAAAAGAAAATTAATGCCAGACATACAAGCAAAAGTACCAAGTTGTTTCAGGGAAGGAATTTTAATACAACTCATGAACTGGAATCTATGTCAAGCTAGAAACCATTTTCATTAATAAAATACTAGAAACTAAGTCACAAGAACAAAAATGAAATTTTTACATGGATTTCAGATTTATAATTCACGATCTCATGAACTTCTGCTACTTCTTTTCAGAAAATGGTATTATTGGCCAGGTATAGTGGCACATGCCCGTAATCTGAGCACTTTGGGAGGCTGAGGTGGGAGGATAGCTTGAGCTCAGGAGTTTGAGACCAGCCTGGGCAACATAGCAAGAGCCCATCTCTATAAAAATGCAAAAAAAAAAAAAAAAAAAGCAGGGCATGGTGACATGCCTGTAGCCCCAGCTACTCAGGAGGCTGAGGTGGGAGGATCACTTGAAGCTGGGAGGTTGATGCTGCAGGGAGCCATGACTGTGTCATTTCACTCCAGCCTGAGCGACACGGTAAGATCTTATCTCAAAAAAATTTTTTTAATCTTGACCACATCAAAAAAAACCATACTGTCAGCTGGGTGCAGTGGTGCATCCCTGTAATCCCAGTACTTTGGGAGGCTGAGGTGGGAAGCTTGCTTGAGCCCAGGGGTTCAAGACCAGCCTGGGCAACAACTTGAAACCCTATCTCTAAAAAAAAAAAATACAGAAATTAGCCACGCATGGTGGTACATTCCTGTCACCCCAGCTACTCAGGACACTGAAGTGAGAGAATTGCTTGAGCCAGGGAGGTGAAGGCTACAGTGTGCCAAGATCCCACAACTGTACTCCAGCCTGGGCAACAGCCAGACACTGTCTCAAAAAAAAAAGAGAGAAATAGAAAACACACTGTCCTTTTGAAAATTTTATCATGTACCCAGATAGACAGAAATCACACGGAAATGTATCTCAATTAAGAAGCAGCACATCAGGATAGCTTAGGATATATTTTAGCTTTGGTTATACAATTTATCATAAAGATATGAGAAAATGTGATGAAAGAATCCCTTTGCAGTACTCTAATGAGCACTGTTACATGTATAGAAAAAAAGAATACAACAGAGATAAATGTCTTCTGTCATTTTTGACTGTAGTGTAAGAGCTCTGAAATAATACTCAGCCTAATAGTATACTTGTCCAGATCTGTTTCTTCCTGCCTCCCATGCCTACTTTGAAAACAAATAATGAAACACATCATCACAGTTCTTCCCAACCCCAATCTTTCCTATTTGCAACTTATGTCTTTCTCTGTGATATTACTCCTTAATATGTCACACACTTAAAAAGTGATTATGTACACTTTACCCTTCAAATCACCTCCAGGGAAACTTCTCTTATGCTGACTTTACTTTGGTCACTCTTGATCTCCTGAGAATATATTAACCAATATCAGTATCACTTTGCATTTGCTAATAATCATGTCAATTCAGCATCCGTATTTTGAAACTGGTACGGCCCTGATTCTAATCTTCCTCACCTATCATACGATGAGACTGGGAAGAGTAATGATTTTGCATTAGTTTCAGTATCCCAAATCAAACTGACATGAATTTTCATAGCTTGTGGTATTTCTTCCAGATTACAGAAGAGAGACATAGGAAAAAATGTTTAGAACACTTGCCCACGTCATATCTGACATACTTGCATTACAATGCCAACTCCATTACCTACAAAAAATATACTAATACGCTTCTGCGGCCTAAATATCTTAAAACTATGAACCTCTTCACTTAACAGTCTCCACTAAGAACTTCCTGGAGTTACATATAGGAAACACAAACAGGAATCCTACGAACACACTGCATAAATGTAATACATGACTAGCTTATTGCTATTTACCATTATGATTACTTACATAGATTACAGAAAGTTCTTGGGCAATTTCTGTATTTTTATCATGACCTTTTAAGACAGCGTATCTTGTTTCTCTTATCAACTTATCACTCACTGATCTATTACTATAGTTCCTTTTCATTAGAAATAAAATGCAGAGAACACTCGTAACACGAATCATCAGTCCTCTGCCAGTACATATACTAAAGAACATTTCCTCACTAGCATTCAGCTGCATCACCAATAAAGCTGCGCAACCATAAAATGCTAAGCCCTGTATCTTAATGGCACCGTTCAGCTAGCTGTACATCACTGAACAGACAAAGCTTTCTTTAATAAACCTGCAATCCAAAGTGTTGATTATCTTAAGTTATATTATATATTTTTATTTTCCATTAGTTTGTGTAACACTTCAATCTGAGAACAAATACACCTTAATTGGATAAATGCTGGCAGAAGTAATATCTCATTCAGAAATCGAGGTCAAATTCTTAAACAAGTAGTTAAAACTCTTAAAACACCTGTAAAAATAAACACATCAGCTTAGATTACAAAGATTCCCAAAGATTTAAAAAACAAAAAACACTTAAAAGTCTAGACAAAAGAATGTCTAAACTAAAACAGTTAACAATCTATCCTATATGACACAATATAATTTATCACTGTTGAAAACCTCCCTAGAAACCCTTGGGAGACTAGAAAGAAACAGATCTGAACAAAACTGAATAGAATAAAAATTGGAATTGAATCAGCTTTCTAAAAGCTCCCTTATTCTTTGTCACCTACAAGTTTATCCTTCTTCACATTTGATTATTCAATTACAGCTATATAAAATATATAATTGCCAGAGGCAGGCAGAATGGTCATGAGCACAAGTTCAAGAGTCCAAAAGCCAGTATGAATCTAGGCTCTGTCATTTAACAGATGTACTTAATTCTTTGTGTCTCAGCTGAAAACACCAGTTACAACAGTACCTACCTCCTAGGGTTATAGTGAAGACTGTGTGTTGAGACAGATAAAGCCTGTGGAATAGGACCTGTTTGTTATTCTAGTAAAGTTACCAATTAAAAAAAAGGTAGGTCGCTGATAATTATTAATCTCTATATTCATGAGTGCATACCACTGTTAACTATAACTTTTCACTACTTTCTACAAAATACCTTTGAAACTTTAGGTATTCACAAATTGTAATAGCCCAACTCTCTGACTCCATATTAATTTCAAGAGACATCAAACTCTCCAAAATTTGCACTTGATAAACTGGTAAAGAGTGAAGTTCTACAACTTTAAATCACCAGCCAAATTAAAGGCAAAGAAAATGACAGTCATCTTGATCTTACCAGAGAAGATGAACAGAGAAATGTCCAGTGCTACAAGATCTGATGAAAGCAACAAGATCTATCCACTGAGTCTGGAAACCTACTATGGATTTGTTTTCAAGTATGGTCAGTGGCTTCACCTCATTTATTATTTAAAATATAAAAAGGAGGCCACATTTAATTTTGAATAACCCGAAGCTGAAAATGTTTCAGATACATTATTCACAGGAGCATCCTATTACATTACATTCTATCACCAATAACTGAATCAAAAGATATCATTAATGAGAGTGAATCTTTATTTTTCCCTTTATTAAAACATCCAGAAAAAATCACTGTTTTTAAATGAATACATTTTAGAAATATTAACACAATTTATAAAAGTTTTAATATCTTACAACAGCCTAAAAAGGTTTCATGTCCAATACCCTATTTACCTAAAATGCTAGGATATCTGAATTTTAAAAACCAACATTTTCCCGGCTGACCCAACTTAACAGGGGTTGCTTCTTTCAACACATAAGCAGAAAATAAAGTTGAAGAATACGTATCATCTTCAAACGACTACCATGAAACCAAAATCGGGTTTTGCAATACCCAACTAAAGCATTTGAAGAGAGGGTCATCTTACTTAGAAACTGACTACTGAAAAAGTAGAGGCTAAGTCCCTCAATTTTTTTTTTATTTTTTTTTTCAGGAAACAGCATTCACACTCTGCTATCCACAATTTTCAAAATCTTCCTTAAAGGCCCTGAAAATCCTGTTTGTTAAGCCTGCTGGAATTCTGTGGTTCACAGTATTGTCCATATTATCCATTTTCAATTTTATTAGGTCATCTTGAGATTCTCTCCTCTGAAAAGCATTTTCAGGCTTTGGTTATCAATATGTCTCTATTGGTAATTTAAAAATCAATAAAGCTCATACACCTTGCAGCCTACTCGTATTTTACGGTGCTTGCTAAAAATACATATATTTCTCAGAGATCAAAAGGCTAACATGAACTGCTTCCAAACTTCGGTGAATCTGCATTATATCCATAGAACACCTTGAGATTCTTCTGTATTGTGCTGCAGCTATACAGCAGGCGCATGATCTCACAAGGCTTTTCAACAGCCTCCAGATCCCTAGCTGCAAAACTTCTCATAAGCCTTCTATGTACTAGACTATTAACAGTGCTGGGTTAAAATTGTTAAACTGCTTTACCTATATTTATTTACCAATCCTATCATCTCAGGGAATCCAAACCCTTTAAACTGCCTTCTAAAACACAGCTAGAGTGCTTTCGTATTGCTTTGAGTAGGATCTGCAGCGGGATCAAAACTTGAGTTCTGAGATTCATCCCTTGACCCAAATTGCAGTTGCCAGGATATGCGGTAGTAATGCAGTGGTTTTTTTGAGACTCTACGGATGTGTTTTACCTACAAATAGCCAATCTATACTAAATCCCTTTTAGTCTTCGAGATTTCCGCGGTAATAATTTAAACAGCAAAGTATTTTAAGTAAAGAAAAAACGAGCTATACGAATTTGACCTTTATTTTTTACTCAATAGAGCTTGCCATCATAAGGGCATTTTCCCTACTAACATTTGCAACTGGAGAAAGAAAAAGCAAGCTTTTGGCACTAGTGACCATTATCATTACGGAAGGCCCATTACCATTACGCTTCTTACAAATCTTCTTTCGAGATAGGATTTGAGGTTAAGCTTATGTTATGTTATAGAAAGTCAACACCAAGACAAACGTATGCCAAATTGCAGGGTTTATTGCCGGCGACCACGGAGGACTCACGTGTCTCCAACCCGTGGCCCCGTAAAAGAAGGTGACAAGACGTTTTATACCCGTAAAAATCACCTTGGGGGTGAGGGGAGGGGCTTCAGGCATTCCGAGGTCTAGTGGATTCAAATCGCTTTCTGGGCAGAGATGAGGGTGAGGGGGTTCCGGACATTCCAGTGAATTTCTGGGCGAAGATTAAGGTGAGGGAGTTCCGGACATTCCGAGGGCCAGGGGACTATTTGACATGCTGATTGTCACTTAAGCGGTTCACAAATGCTAAGATTAGTATTCGTTTACACATCGTCTGGGTAGGGGTGGGATCCACGGATTTTTAGTTACTTGGCGCCAGGATGGAATTATCTGGGGGTGCTTATTCTGGTTATTACTGGTAAACAAAGGCCAGCAATTCTGGCAGTTACAGATAAGAGAAGGTGAGCAGCTTTACTTCTTTGCATTCTGTAAACTAGCAGTTTTACAGAAGCGAAGGTTAGCAGTCATTGTGAGGAGAATGCAAACAGTTTTGTCTTTTATAAAATGGCATTGTTCAGGTTCTCACTCTAGGCCAGCTATATCACACTTACATTGGACCACGGTCCAGTAACTTACCGTTTTCCAAGCCCGATTAACAGTCTAATAACTACATCAACGCTTATACGCCCCGGGAAATCTCAATGTTTCACTAACCAGTAAGGCGTCTGATAACGAAGGCAGCCAGTGAAACACTGAGATTCTGAAGAGAGAAGGACCCCAAAAGGGTCCGCGAGAGCAAAATCCCGGGGTTCGGAAGCCCTCCCAGCCCAACCCAACCACCCCTTTTGTCCCCTGGGAGCCAGCCCTTCGCCGGCACAGGCCGGGCAAACCCCGAGGCTACAGACCCCCACACAACGCCCAGGCCGGGGTTCCGAAATCCGACGCCAAGAGGTGGAAGCCCCAAACCCCGCGGCCTGAGTTTCAGAGGTAAGAGAATGGGGCTGAGAGGAGATGCGGCCTCCCTCAAGCCGGGAAGCCCGTTGAGAAAGCAGAGACGGGAGAAGAGCGAGCCGGTTCGCAAGTTGGAGAAAGAAGGAGATCTGGGCTCGACCAGCGCCTTACCCGCATCCTCGGCGACACCCGAGTTTACCGGGAAGTGTCGGTCCTCGTAGAAGCGGGAGAAGCGGTCCGCCTTTTTGCCGCCTTCATTGCTCTCAGGACAAGCTCTCAGGGTTCGCTCCTTCCCTCCTGCGACAACCGCCCCTTCCGGTTTCCCCGCCCCCTCCCACGCCCCCGGGCGCGCGCAGCTGAAGGAGGGTATGAGAATGCGCGTCCTAACGGGAGCCCCGCGGCGCAGGCACTGGCCAGCCTTGGAGGCGGACCCATCCCTCCAGCCCCAGCTCCGCGCGCCACAAGGACGACCCAAAACAAAACAAACAAACAAAAGCACACACACAAAGAAAGAACAGTCTGGGCACAGTGGCTCACACCGGTAATCCCAACACTTTCGGAGGCCAAGGCAGGCACATCACTCGAGGCCAGGAGTTTGAAACTAGCCTGGGCAACATGGAGAAACCCCCATCTTTAGAAACAATATAAAAATTAGCCAGTGTGGTATGTGTACCTGTAGTCCCATCTACCCGGGAAGCTGAGGTGGGAGAATTACCTGAGTCTGGGAAGTTAAGGCTTCGGTGAGCCGTGATCACATCACTGCACTCTAGCCTGGGTGACAGGGCGAGACCCTGAAAAAATAAAGGAAAGAAAGAAAGAAAATCATTCCCTGTCAAGAATAAATGAACGTAATAATACAAGAAATAATACATGAACATTTTCCAGAACTGAAGGAACTGAGAGTTGGCTCTATACCGGGCACTATGCTTAATACTTTACATGGATTATTGAAGTAATTTTTGACACATTAAGAGGCAAGAAATTTGATAATCTCCACTTTACAAATGGGAATACTGAGGCTGAGAGATAAGAAACTTGCCCTGGCTCCTGTAGCTATGGAAGACAGAGCCAGATTGTCTGACTATGGTCAAGTCCCTTAGCAGCTGGTCAACTTGCCTCCTCAGTATATCTGCAGAATAACAGCATGCAGCCCCCACATGCCCTGTTTATTGTACAAAAAGCTTGTTGTAAATTATACATAGCAAAATCTGCCATTTTAACCATTTTTAAGTCTATAATTCAAGATTCAAGATTCTTAAATTGCAAAATTTCTCTCTCTTCCTCTCTGTATATGTAAATTTACGTTTTGGGTTTTTTTCTGAACCATTTGAAAGTAAGTTGCAGATATTCTAGCACTGTGTTTAGCAGGGCCAGGCACAGCGGCTCACGCCTGTAATTCCAGCACTTTGGGAGGCCGAGGCAGGTGGATTGTTTGAACTCAGGAGTTCGAGACCAGCATGGGAAATATGGTGAAACTATTGAGCTCAGGGGTTCCAGACCAGCCTGGGCAACATGGTGAAATCCTGTCTCTATAAAAAATACGAAAAAATTAGCTGGGCGTGATGGTACACACCTAGAGTTGCAGCTATTTAGGAAGCCGAGATGGGAGGATTGCTTAAGCCTGGGAGAGAAGGGTTGCAGTGAGCTGAGATTGCACCCCTGCACTCTAGCCTAGGCAACGGACTGAGACCCTGTCTCAAAAAAAAAAAAAAAAAGAATCAGCCTGTATTGCCAAAGAATAAAAACACTTTGCTCCAGGACTACAGGTGCAGGCCACCGCATCCAGCGATTTTTTTTTTTCTTTTTTTGTATTTTTATTAGAGTCAGGGTTTCGCTGTTTTGCCCAGGCTGGTCTTGAACTCCTGACCTTGAGTGATCCACCCACCTCATCCTCCCAAAATGCTGGGATTACAGGGGTGAGCCACTCCACCCAGCCACCCCTCACGTTAAAAAAAAATTATTTAAGTCAGGAGCCGTGGCTCACCCCTGTAATCCCAGCACTTTGGGAGGCTGAGGCAGGCAGATTGCTTGAGCTGAAGGAGTTTGAGACCCACCTGGGCAGCATGGCAAAACTCTGTCTCTACAAAAAAATGCAAAAATTAGCCAGGCATGGTGGCACATGCCTGTAGTTACTCGAGTGGCTAAGGCAGGAGAATTGCTTGAGCCAGGGAGGTCAAGGCTGCAGTGAGCTGAAATCCTGCCATGCTCTCTAGCCTGGGCAACCAAACAAGACCCTGTCTCAAAAAAAAAAAAAAATTATTTAGCAGTGGTCTGAGAATCAGGAACAGAACTAGGAATGTCTAGATACATGGAGCACCCAGGACTTAACATCTCTCATGTAAAGGGGAAAATGGCCTTGACTATTTCAGAGAAACAGTAGGAAGTGGTGGTTTAGTGCACACACTCTGCACCCTACTGGCTCTATGTCAGCTATGTTATGCTGGTTATTAAAAAAAAAAAAAAATCTCTGTGCCTCAGTTTCCTCATCTGTAAAATGATATAAAATCTCACTTGGCACATCATAGGGCTATGTAAACACTAGCTGTTATCATTATTTGCCTCTAATCCACAGCCCTATAAGCATTATGAGGTGAAATAAACTTAATATAGTACAAGTTCATCTACACCAGCTGTGAGCAAATGAAGATGACCCAACAGGCGGGTACACTGCAGGGCTTCCTCGTTTTCTATGAACGTCCTATACTTGTTAAGGGATTCCGATTGTGTGATCCTCCCAGGGGTGCTTGGGAATGGGAAGGACCGTATCTGGCACAGAACTTCGCCCGCACATGTTGTCCCCTGCTCCCACTCGTGCTGCTGCCATCAGGTCCCCATGTCCAGCAGAGGGCGCTGTGGCCTCAAAATGCAATCCTCAGACGCTCCCCTCTCCCGCGAGGCCGGCCGCTAGCGACGGAGGCCACCCGCCAGAGGCAGCGGGCCTCACTCCAATCAGACCCTTTGTCTCAAACAGCCCTTTTCTCCAAGCAGTGAGCAAACTCCGCATCACCCGCTGCTCGCTGGCTTTTCAAACCTCACGCTGCTCCTTGAAGCGTTTTCTGCAGGTTCCAGCCCTCCAGACCTCCCTTCTGTGAACCCCAGAAGCTTCGATGCAGCAATGAATCATCCAGGCCTTATGCTGCTGTGAGTTTCCAAATTCCATGGCAGCCCAGCTGTAAACCTCCATCTCGTCCCCCCAGAGAGCCTCCCGCCCCCCACAGCTGGAGCCTCTTCCATCCTATTCCAGCTTCTCCAGACAAAACTCACTGGCCCCACCCAGCTCTCACTTCTGCTTCAACCTCCTGGGGGGCAAGGGACTATTTTTCTCATTCAATCTTCCGGCAAACCATTGGCTGGGGCAAGAGGCCCAGCATGGTAGCTCAGGCCTGTAATGGTAGCACTTTGAGAGGCAGAAGGATAGCTTAAGCCCAAGAGGTTCAGACCAGCCTGGACAATATAGTGAGACCCCTTTTCTACAAACACCTTGTAATTAGTCAGGTGTGGTGGTGTGTGCCTGTAGTCCCAGCTATTAAGGAGGCTGAGGTGGGAGGACCTCTTGAGCCCAGGAGGTGGAGGTTGCAGTTAGCTGAGATTGTCCCACTGCACTTCAGCCTGGGTGAGGGACCCTGTGTCAAATAAATAAATGATTGTTTTGGGACAAGGTTAGCATCCTGCAGAGATGAAGACAGCCAACCTTTAGTGAGCACCTGCTGTATGCCAGGCATTGATCTAAGTTCTTTAATCCTCAGCAATTCTATGAGTGTTGTTAAGCCTGTTTTACAGAGTAGACAGTTAAGGCACAGAGTGGTTATGGGACAGGTCTAAGGCCACACAACTAGAGGTTGAGCCAGTGTTCAAACCCATGCAATCTGAGTCCAACAACTGGGCTTTTTTTTTTTTGAGACAGAGTCTCATTCTGTTGCCCAGGCTGGAGTGCAGTGGTGGAATCTTGGCTTACTGCAAACTCCAATTCCCGGGTTCAAGTGATTCTCCTGCCTCAGCCTCCCAAGTAGCTGAGATTATGGGTGCTCGCCACCAGAGCTGGCTAATTTTTTTTTTTTGAAACAGAAGTTTCACTTTAGTTGCCCAGGCTGGAGTGCAGTGGTGCAATCTTGGCTCACTGCAACCTCTGCCTCCTGGGTTCAAGTGATTCTCCTGCCTCAGCCTCCCAAGTAGGTGGGACTACAGGTGCCCCTCACCACGCCCGGCTAGTTTTTTGTATTTTTAGTAGAGACGGACTTAACCATGTTGGCCAGGCTGGTTTCAAACTCCTGACCTCAGGTGATTCGCCTGCCTCGGCCTCCCAAAGTGCTGGAATTACACACATAAGCCACTGCACCCAGCCACCCCCGGCTAATTTTTGTATTTTTAGTAGAGATGGGGTTTTGTCATGTCGTCCAGGCTAGTATTGGACTCTTGACCTCAGGTGATTCACCCACCTCGGCCTCCCAAAGTGCTGGGATTGTACTCCGGTTCCTCTTTAGATCGTATAAATCTTTCACGAACCACTGCGCCTGGCCATACAGCTGGTTTGTTTGTTTGTTTGTTTTTGAGACAGAGTCTTGCTCTTTTGCCCAGGCTGGAGTGTCATAGCACAATCTTGGCTCACTGCAACCTCTACCTCCCAGGTTCAAGGGATTCTTCTGCTTCAGCCTCCTGAATAGCTGGGACTACAGGCAAGTGCCACCATGCCCGGCTAATTTTTGTATTTTTAGTAGAGATGGGTTTCACCATATTGGCCAGGCTGGTCTCAAACTTCTGACCTTGTGATCTGCCTGCTACTCAGCCTCCCAATGTGCTGGGATTACAGGCGTGAGCCACCACGCCCAGCTAACAACTGGGGTTTTTTTTTTCCCCCACCTTTACTGCTCCCGCTCCCACAACTGGCTTTTTAAAACAAGACGTTATCTGGACTTTTAAAGTATAAACCCAGGGCTCCGTCTCCGTTCTCTAGAACTGTGCTGTCCAGTGTACCACTAGCAGCCACATGACTGCAGAGCACGTGACTAATCCAAGCTGAGACGTGCTGCAGGCTCAAAATACAAACTGAATTCCAAAGACTGAGAAAAATGTAAAATAAAGCATTATCAACTTTTGTATTGATTACATGTGGAAATGATAATATTTTGGATCTATTGGGTTAAATAAGATATATTATTAAAATTAATTTTAGCCGGACATGGTGGCTCACACCTGTAATCCCAACACTTTGAGAGGCCAAGGCCGGTAGATCGCTTAAACTCAGGAGTTTGAGACCAGCCTGGGCAACATGGTGAAACCCTGTGTCTACAAAAAATATAAAAATTAGCCGGGCATGGTGATGCACACCTGTAATCCCAGC